AACAAAATGAAACTACCTACTTAGAACTTGATTTTCTTATTATACCTTTACCCTCAATGTTTCAAGCAAATAAAGCAGGATTGATTAACATACATTCAAAAGAAAACACGCTCGGAAAATTTTCAAAATTAATTTATATCTACGCTACAGTATGGTGCATAATGCAGTGTGTTATTTGATTAAGGAATAATATTATCTGTTAGAAATTAATATAAATAGTCATGATTTTAATGTGCACTCCTATTAAAACTTTTATTGCCGTTCATTTATATATTTTATCAAATATCTGGCTTTGTTGAACTCATTATAATTTACTATATTATATATAACTTATTATAATTATTTCTCACCTCTAAACAGTTAAAAGGAAATAAGTTATGATAACTACCTTCACTGCAGTGTAAACACCTGGGCATGATACTATTAGTAATATTGCCATCAAGAGACTACCCATGAACATGATTACGAAGTACACAAGTATCGTAAACGCCTGCCTCAACATCAGGGGCTACTTTCCCAATTGCTGGAAGTACGCTAAAATTATATTATTGCCAAAACCAGGAAAGGATACACCCTGCCCAAGGGCTACAGGCCCATTAGCTTACTCTCAGGGCTTGGAAAAGTTTATGAACGTGTTATCCTAAATCGGCTCAAGCCCTTCTTAGATGTACTTCCGCCCGAACAGTTCGGATTTCGCGCAAAATTATGTACTTCCAAGCAGCTGGTAAGGCTTGGGGAATTTTCTGGAGATGTCTTACACCACAGACAAAAATGTTGCCATCCTCCATGCTGGACGTGGCGAAAGCTTTCGACCGCGTTTGGCATGAGCGGGCTGATTTTACAAGCTTAATTAATTTCAACTTTGAAAGGGGAATGATTGAGCTTATTACTTTCAATCATCACAAATAGAAGCTTTTTCTGTCTCCATCGGAAAAGACGTCTCTGACACTAGAAAAATTAATGCTGGTATACCACAGGGCAGCATTTTAGGACCAATTTTATATTTATTATATGTTGCACAGGCAGCATTTTAGGACCAATTTTATATTTAATATATGTTGGAGGCTTCCCGCGCGACCACTTGGATAGAAATAACTTTTTAGGATATTATGCAGACGACACAGCTTTAGCTGTGAAGTCTGCTAACGCAAATCCTGCTTTAAAGAAGCTGCAGGACATTATGCCCAATATTGAATGGTGTACTAAATGGAGGATATCGATCAATGCGCAAAAGTCGCAATTACTTGTCATCAGGAGAAAACATACACGGACCCCACTCAAAAGAAAACTTTATCTTTTCAATTAACAGGTGCCGCAAGTCACAAAAGCCAAGTACCTCGGGGTAGTAATGAATATAAACTAACTTGAAACGACCATATCACTAATGTGAGGAAAAAGGCTTTCCGCTGTAATCAACAGTTTAAAGCCCTTTCTTAAAAAGTTTTCAAAATTAGATCTGCGTCGAAAGCGGCTTGTGTATATAATGAACATACGGCCTGTCATTACATATGCTTCGCCAGCCTGGAATACGGCTAAAAAGAGAGACCTGTACGTACTGCAAGTAATTCAGAATAGAATACTTAGAATGAATACTTAGAATAGAATACTCAGAATAGAATACTTAGAATGAAAAGACGCACAAATAAATTAAAGAAGATGGACTACAAGTGCTGAAATTAATTTTTTATCGAATCGTCCGATCCAGCAAATGGTTATGAAACAGTTGCTGGTTTCAAAATAAAAATGATTACTAATGCTCATTACTACGTCAATAACGCCACTCTACACAGAGACTTGAAACTTAGTACAATTGAGCAGCATTTGCACAAACTCAACAGGAATTTCTTGATGAAAGCTCTTAACTGTGCACATTTGTCTAATTTAAACACACTAAATTATACAATTCTAGACGAGGACTGTGAAATTCGACCACTAGCGGCCAATCACTTGTTCACCTTGCAAATGACTCTAACTTTCCTACTTAATGATTAGTAGTGTGCAATATAGTGCAATATTCTGTCTATAGTGTAAATATTGTATATATTTTTCTGTTATATTTTTACTCTTTCTATATTTGTATTGTACTGTTACTTTAAGACATTGTGCTTTTTTTCTTCAAATTAACTTAGGACGTTCCACTTGCTGTCCATGATCGGGCGATGTCTCGGTCTCCCCCTTTTTTCCACCTCCTCCGCTCCCTCTGGGATACCACGGGCAGATAGTACCATGTGATGCGCGCATGTGGCAAATTTTGATTGAGCCGGAAAAACTGCACACTGTGTGGTAGTCCGGCAATAAATTAATCATTCAGTCAGTGTAAACAGGAAAAAAATTAATGTAATATTGTTTCGATTTGGAGAAATTCATAATGAATATATATAATTTAACTTTCTAATTAATTTTTATGACATAAGCTGAATATTATTATAACAAAAACCAAGCTCATAATAATAGTATTAAGTTTTTGTGAAGATTATCCACCCATTTATAACACTTAAAATCTTTGCCGGAGCCGACAGACTTTAACAAGAGCATTTTTTAACTTCAGATTTGAAAGGAACATTTACATGGAAATAACATTTAAAGGGATCATTGGTTTGCAATATTTTTGTTAAAATTTTATTTACTGATTAAAAATGAACGTTTTATAATTACTCTCAACGAAATAGCAAGAATACATTGAATTTCATGTGTAATAAAATAAATAAAGGCACTAAATTTAAATATCAGAGAACAAATCTAATTTTGATACTACAATAAAAGCAATAATAAGAGCCACGGAAGTAGGCTTATTATTGTTTATAAAGATATGCGGGATTAAAGGCGCATGCGTTGATTTATGCGGGATTAAGAATACAATTACGTAGTATACATTTTTATCACATTTGAAAATATGCAGCTTACTTCCATTTCATTGCTAACTAAAAAATTAAAGCACCCGTAGCAAATAATATCAAACTGTCAACAATGCCTCTCTTGCTATTAAATATCGAAGCATTCTCTATCACAGTGCTTCCCAACCTTTTTTTACGTCACATATTGTGTGCTTGTGCATGTATTTCATTATGGAAAGCACGCGAGGACTATCTGCCTAAGGGGAGGGATGCCTTCGTGGAAGACTTTCTAAGGTAACTGGCTCGTATACACGTTACACGAGGGGAATGCCCAAGCAGTCAGCCCGTTTGCAGGATTCGAACCTCGCACAGAACTACCAGTGTTAAGCGACTTTACCGCTCGGCTGCTGGTGAGCCTTTTTTACATCCCGACATATCTCATTAGCACAAAATATTTCACGGGTACCTCACAAGCATAAAAATTTTCCCGACGGGAGCGTTTTTCTGATAACGCGATTAATTTCCTTCATTTCATACTAGTGGTTCAATTAATAAGATTTTTCAACTACATAAACACTCCAACTAGACATTTGTTTCAGATAAGTTTTCTCATACAGTCATATGCATGAAATAATTGAATCAAACTGAATGAAAATACTCAATCCTCAGAGACTCTATTTGATAGAGTTCAGTGACTCTATTTGATAGAGTTCAGTGACTCTAGTTGATAGAGAGAGTACCACATTTGATAACCTAAACTGTCAGACATGATTCAGCGAAGCTATAATTAAAATTTTAGAAAACTAATTTAACAAAATTAGTGTGAAAATACAGAAGTGTAATTAATTGTACTAAAACAATTATTGGCTATATATAAATATGCTAATAGTGATCATTCAATGAGGAAATAAATATTTTAAACATTGATATTAAAATTTACGACAAAGAGATGTCTAATTGAGGCTCGGTGGCACAGTGGCTAGCGCATCGTGCAGCAGCACCACAGGTCCGGGGTTCGATTCCTGAGCTGGGCAAGGTCGAATCAGCCTTTCATTCCTTGATTTCCATCGCTTGGATTGATAAAATGAGTACCAAGTTCGCTTGGGGATTAAACACTGTGGGTCCTGCGACCAGCTGATCACTTGTTCAGGGCACATGCTTACGCAACCCGGGGCTCACGGCCAAGAAAGCAGATTTTCAGGCACTGCAGTCTTTGGCCCATTACGGCTGTTACGCCACTGAGTTTAGTTTTAGATGTATAATTTCTTATTTCAGTGAGATACTTGGGTTTATTTCTGGAAAAATATTTTTTACATCGGGGTATTAGTCGAAAGAACTACACGCAGTTCGTGATCAAGACATTTTGATGATAATTCCTTTAAATTTTTAACACTGATCATAGAAGAGAAAGTTAGTGTTGCTTACATAGTTTTTGAGAATTTTTAATGCTGCTCGTATAATTTCTAAGTACTCAAAATAGAAGATATGATTTTATTTGTCCTGCCAATATAGCTTAAGTTATTCGAAACATAACTACTTAGACGTGGAAATAAAATATATTACAACTTAATATATATCTCTCCCCCCCCCCCCGCCACACACACTATTCAATATTGCTGGGAATGGCCGAACTTCTCGAGGATTTGATCGACTCAAGCTCCCCAGGGGGCTACCAATATCGCAATCGAGAAGGGGAGAAGAAGGGAAGACAAAGTTATATTTATTCGGGAGACAAACCCACATCTTTGCATTCAGACTAACATTTTGCTATCCACTATACCGTTTAGGTCAGCTTAAATAACAACTTTCTAAACAAAACTTTCAAAGTGAATCATTACGGGAAATCTACAGCATGCTAACCCCCATACGCTTTTAATAGTGATGACCGGATCTGTCACCAAAGGCGAGACCTTCTCCGATTTTGGTACTTATTTCACATTTTATTGCGTTCTTTACGAAGTTACTTGCATAAAACAATGTTCTTGGTCATAAAATTCGGTCAGAGAGGAAATTGAGAACGTAAATGCTAAGTTGCATCCCCCAGCGCCGCCCGTTCGAAGACCACCGCTATAAAATCCCTCAGGAATGGGTGTTTCCTAACCATTGCCACAAGGTGGCGCAGCTCTCGAGGACTCTGCTCCTTGTTTTCCCAGAGTCAACCCCGAATCTGCGGCGGCCGCGTTTTAGCTCTTAGCTTTATCGTTCTCCTCTTTTGTCTCCTGTCCATCGTCTGCCCCCTTCGAACGACCCCGAGACTGCCTGAGATTGCAACGGATCGCCACTTCTGTGGAGCGAGGATATGACGCCCGGAATCAGGGAGATCGTCCCGTCGAGGAGCCGAGACCCGTGTAGAACCCTAGGTGAGTGACTCAACCATATTCTTTCTTCCCTTTGAAACAGAGTATCGTATCCGGCGATGTAACAAGTGCTTTACGAATCTGTTCTGCTTCCTTAACTAGATTTTGATCGATGCTATCCTTGATTTATCTTGGGGAAAGTCTAGCAGAAAACTGAATGGTTAAAAATGTGGTTCCAACAACAAATTATATTCTTAATTTTTTATTATTATTATTCATTATCATTAAAATATTTATTTCATTTATTGAATGTATTCCCCGAATTCTGTTTCCTGTATTAAAATATTCATAAATTTCGTATTTCCAAATCATTTTGCTATTTTATTTGACATAAATATTGAGTGCTGAAGGAAATCGATGTGTAAGGAAGCTAATTAATTAGAGCGATAATATGAAATTCTAGCTATAAAAACAAATATAATTTTGAATGTTTCTATTATTTTGAATTAAATTATTTTAATGAATGGGAAATGTTCAGTTATAGCTTAGGCTTTATTATTGTCGCTGTTATTATTAGTAAATATTCGTTTATTAAATTTAAATGAAAAACAAATCTGAATGGTTTCAGATTTTAATGAACTACGTCCAAAGGGACTTTTTTTTTTTAACGGTTTGTGTGTTACCTTTATTTATTAAATATCATGTTCTACGTACTGAAACCATAAAATTCAGTTCAACAGCAATATCGCAAAATAATTTTAAAATGAGCATATCTTTAGTATTTCCGATACAGAGTCTCGCGCGTTGGAGATAAAATTATTTTTTTCCCTACGGTGTAGCCATGGCTCGCTTTGAAATCGTTTAGTTTTTTTAATCAAAAACTCGTTCAAGTGTTACAAAATATGAAATCGATAATAAAACAAATTTCAAATTTAAATTACGGCTTCCACATGCCCATATTCTATGGAAGATTACGTTATTCAAAGTTTGATGGCTCTACGTACCGTTGTTTTATCACAGTGCAAGAAACGTGCATACATTCATGCAGATTCTTCATCATTTAATTTCTTTACATATAATACAGGGCGATAATATTTGGTGGCAACAATTTGTAAAGTGATTTCGCCGTTTATAGTTTTCAACGCAAAATGCCAAAACGAAATTAATAGTCCTTCAGGGCAAAATGTCCCTTTGAACTTTAAAAATCTTCTACAACCTAAAGAAACTTAAAAATGCGGTACTCAGGGAGATGTATTACTTCTCATTACAAAAAAGAATTTGAATATGAGTTTGCAACGTAAGCGTACCATTGCATAAATATAAATTTCTATCACATAATACACTGGTGAGTAGTATTTGTTTTAAATTAGACGAACGCTAAATAAAGTAAAAGCGACACTAATTAAAAACACGATAAAGAGAAAAACAGAAGCAAAAGTTAATATTTATCACTCAAACTCGAAAAATCTGATTCAGATTTATTATATTCAGAAGAGCCAATATTGTAGCAAAATCACCCAAGAAATTCTTAAATAAAATAATGAAACAAAATTTCTTAAATAATCATAACTCTAATGTATAATGTTACTAGGATTTATCCTTGTGCCTGCAGCTTTTATTGTCGCTTTGTGGCATAAATTGTTTCAAAAAATATGTACACGCAACATTTTTTATTCCTTCAAATGAGATAACATAAGTCTGCTTTGAAATTACAGATATATAAAAGTTTTATTTTGTTTGTAATGTTAGAGGATATTCAGGAACTAAACAAAATGAATACTGGCGGATTTAGGCCTTAAATATTTCTAACGTAGTTCATTTTCTGTTCTCTTCGCAAATTTCAAAATTTAACATAGTTCCCTATTTCGAAATTAAATTTTCAGAATTTTTGTTTGTATATAACCACTCAGTTTATCACCAGAGAAGCAGTGGAAGAGGTGAAGAAAGCCACACGCTAAAATAGGCAATATAATTTTAATCACTTTTAGCCCAAAGGGCGTTAGCCCAGAAGTCTGGAAACGCCATTTCGCATCGAATCACTTTTAATGGCTGAATCACATTTGTAGTTGTTGCCACCAAATGTTATCGCTTTTTATTATATTTAAAAAAATTAAATAATAAAAAATCTGCGTGAATGTATGGATGTTTCTCGCATTGTGAAAAACAGCAATACTTAGAACCAACAAATTTTGAATAGTATATTCCTGTACCCGAATATCAGCACCTGGAAGGCCGAATCTTAAATTCCGAATTTTTTTATCTGTTTCATATTTTTTAAACTTTAAACTAATGTATTATTAAGAAACTCAACAATTTCAAAGCGAGCAGTGGCAACACAATGTACGGAATAAAATATTTTTATATCCAGAGCGCGAGATTGTCTATTGAAAATTTTAAAGATATGCTGTTTTTAAATATTTTTAGTCCAAAGCGGCGTTAGCCCAAATGCTCTCGAAACGTTTATGCATGTGTAAATGAAAAAAACATTCCTTTAGGAGTAATATTAAATCTGAATGCTTTCAGTTTTTTATATATATATTTTATTTACGTATTATTATAATATGCTTTTTAGCATGCATGCGTTTTTATTTCGTTTTTTAGATGAAGCAATAGAGAAACGCAGAACGCCGGATGTTTCAGAATTTAAAAAAATATGCTTCTGATTATTTTGAAATACTTTTCTGCATAATTACGCTTTAATGCAAATTAAAAATCTTGCGTTAAAGTACTACATAAATATTCTAGTCTTACATGAAGGAATCAATATATTTTGAAAGAAAATACTTAACTGGTGTATTGGCTTTTCCTCTATGTTGGAGAGGAAAATAGATTCAAGATTAGTCTATATTGAGTCTATATTATATACATGAAATATCCTCAAGGTGGTTTTCCTAAGAAAGTGAGATTTTATACTCAAATAGCATTATTGATCATAAATTATTGTTGCTTTAAAACCTGAACGTTACTGCTATTAAAGATACCTTAATAAACGGTTTTTAATTAATGTACTTTGTTTCATTATCAAGATTACTGCACAGATATTGCAGCGATATTGTAGCTACAGTGCAACAGACAACTGATGCAGGGAGCCAAAACATAGGCGGGAATTTAACCAGGACCCTTGGTATTAAGCCAGACAGACAGCCTACGTTAACTACTATAATATTTGTTAAGACTCATCTGTTGTGTAAAAAAATCCATATGATGAATGTCACAAGAAAAAAATAACCTGTGATATATTATTAAGTGAATTTTTTGTGTTCTTTCTAAGTTATTACTGAATGGAAAATTCAAACATAATTTAGTGACGATCTGTGATTTGCTCCCCTGTATACAATCTTGAAGACTTATGTTATAAAAGACGGAACGAAAAACATGTGCGTGACGTGGACACAGTCTGCTGATCAATATTTACTTTTATAGAGTGTTTTGCCATACTTCTTTTATATTTGCTATATTATTTAGATTTGGGATTTAAATTGATAACCTGTAAAAAAATGTTACTGCTTGAAGTTGTAAAAGAGGTTTAAAATTTTTGGTTAAGCTTTTTGCTCTTCTGCCATGTTTACTAAGCAGTTGAAAATGGGATTCTAAATTTTTAAAGACTTTTATTTTGAAAAAAAAAGGTGAGATTTAATTTTTATGTACAGTGTACTCTGGAATATCCGGGTTTCGGATTATCCGGTTTGTGGATTATCCGCGAGTAGCGGTGCTCAAGTACGCATACTCAAAGCTGTGCGCGAGAGTGTGTAAAAACCAAACAAGCGCAAGTCCGAGCATGCTCTAAAAACCGCCGTGTTGTGTCGTTACGTTTAATTTCGACGATTACCCCGTTCAATTCGAAGTTCTTGGGAAAGGGGAGAATTTAATGAAATTCTGGACAAATCTGAATGTATTGTATGCCATATAGCAGGAAACGTTTTAGAGACATTAGGTTATTTCAAAGCAGGAGACATGAAAAATGAGCAATGCTCGCGCCGGGCTTTCGAATGCACGCCGAGTGTGCCGGACATTACACCATGAAGGCATGCTCATGCTAAGAAGGCAGGAGAAATAAAGGAGCGACTGTGGATTAGGGAATACAATCGCCAAATCCAGGTGGTGGAAAATCATCATCCACCACCTTTTTTAGTTAGGGTGCCATTGTAGAGTCGGTGTGTTCTTTTTTGGAAGCATACAATGTATACTAGAAGCAACTACTTCTAAGTAATATACAATGTTAACTTAGAAGGCGAAGTAGAGAATACTCGCTATATCTTTGAAGAATAAATAATGCAGAAGAAGGTTTTAAATAACCTTTTATTTTAACTAAAATGAATAGATACACTTACTTGGTGCTCACAATTCACCACCACTTGCGGCTAACTAAATTAACAGGAAATAAGAATGTAAAGTGCACATTAAATTAAGGTAGCTAACGACTGGCTCCTTAGTTTAACTAAAAGCTAAATTGGCTGCACACTGCAAAGCCGTGCTTAGAAATATCAGTACAAACTGAAAGGTGTCTAGAAAGTTAAATTCAAACACTCAGCATAATCTCAGCACTAAGTCCACTACTACTGTTTTCGAACTCTTAAAACGCAGCTTAACTACTGCTTCTGAAACACATTTAGATTAGCGTACTACGAGTTTTAAAATTTCCATTCCGGTAGTAAACTGAGATAAGGAGTAAAAGAAAAAAAAAAACTTATGCGTACTCCACATGACTTCCTTGTACGGAATATTAAATTATATTCATTTTTTCTTGCATTTCATTTATACTTTATTGGATTGAATTAAATCTATTTCGTCGATAGCGCATAAACTACAATAGAATAAATGCACTCTTTAAAATTCACTATATTTGTTTACCAAAGCGACAGTCTGGCACTAGGCTCACTTAACAGCGTTACATTTCGTTCATATTATAACTCAGAATGCATATAAATTTATATCATTTGAAGAATTCTCTAATCGTTGCCTCATGTTCTATTCAAATACTATAATAAAGTTAGAATGATGCATAAAAGAAATTAATCAAACAAAAGAAAAAAAGAAACTGTTTTTCACAGACGATTCAGTAT